CGGGGTTTGCCCCCTGCGGTGTGTTTGTCCTAAGTCCGGTGCGACGTGGCTGGGGGAGGGCTCTCCACCAGCCTGTGGTTCTGTGCCTCTGCTTGTGGCACTCACACCCATGTGCCACATGTGGCTGCAAAGTGAGAGGCCTCAGCTATGCGCCTCTCCTGGAAATGTTTGCTTCTGGGAGCCCTCAGCAGGGAGCTCGGCCGTGCCAGGGAGGCCGGGCAGCTGGACATGTGAACCAAGCCTGTGGGTGATGAGGGGCCTGAAGTGGCCCCCATCCACATCGCAGGAGCTTTGCTGAGAGTGTTCGCACCAGCCTGTGAGCAGCCAAGCCTGTGGGTGATGAGGAGACTGAAGTGGTGTCCATCCACATCGCAGGAGCTTTGCTGAGAGTGTTCGCACCAGCCTGTGAGCAGGGGCAGCCACTGGAAAAGGAAGGAGTCCTGCCTGGACCGTGGACCCCTCGTGTGTCACACGGGGCCCCCCGGCGCCAGCCACTGGAAAAGGACGGGGTCCTGCCTGGACAGTGGACCCCTCGTGTGTCACACGGCGCCCTGGGACGTGCGTTCCCTCTGAGAGAACAATGGGATCCACTCTCATGGGCCAGGGATCCTCTTTTCCCAGCCACTTTGCTGGGATCTGAGCCCAAAAGCACGGATGGCCCCTCCTGATAAAGGCCACGTCCCAGAGGCTGAGAGGGGAGAAGATCGTTCCGTCCCTGCTACCGCACTGTGCCCGGAGCGGTGTGATTGCTCTGCGTGGTTGGATTCCTCGCCCTGTTCACCTCCTCCTCTTTGCTTTCTTGCTCTTATGAATAAACCTTCAGATGTTACGTGATAAAGGCTGGGCCCAGTGAGCTCTGTGGGGTCAGATCTGAGCTATAAACTGATGTGGGCCTGTGGCTGGTCCCCAGGGACGGGGAGAACCTGGGTGGATGTGGTGGGGCCAGTTTTCACCACCTCCCGGCGGTACGAGACGTGGCCCTGAGGGTGAGCACAGGAAAGCTGGCGTGTCTAAGGGGATTCCTGGTGGGACTTTGTGCTGGGTGGTGTGTTGAGCAGAAGGGCCGTGTGACTGGTTCACTGGCCCTAGGGGAAAGATCCCCAGTCTGTGGGCTGGGTGTAGCCCTGTCTTAAAGCAATTCATTTTAATTTCACCCACTCCGCAGTCCCCTGGAAACCCACTGTACTACCCCTGGTGTCTCAGTCTCCAGGGATGTGTGATCTCTCTATGCTTTATACAATCCCTGGGGGAACCCCCTTCAGTGCAACAGCCCGTTTTAGGGGGGCACCTTGTTTGGGGGCAAAGCCATAGAGCCATCCATATCCTGAAACTGCACAGCTCTGAGCCCTCCGTACTCCTGCCGTGCACTGCAGAGAGGTGAAAATGGCACCCGGGTCGGGAGGTCGGGGCCCAGTGGGAGGGTCTGGCTGGGTGGGGCAGAGGGGACTCACAGCTGGGGCCCCCCCTCATGGCAGGACCTGGCACCACAGCGCTGATGATGGACCCAGAGGCCCTGCGGTGATTTCTCCTCCCATGACATGTCCCCCAGCCGGGTCAGTTCTAAGACTCTCCCCTGTGGGGATGAACAAAGAGATGGGAGAGCTTCTCCCCACAGCCCCATCTCAGCCAGGCTGCCCCCTTTCTGCTCCCCTCCCAGCTCTTCCCCAGCTGGGTCCTTCTCCAGCTGGGCCTGGCCTGGCCTCCGGTTCCTGCTCCCCAATACAGGATCAGTCCCATCCCACGGGGTCAGGGCTTGGGGACTGGAAACAGTCTCCAGCCATGTCACTGCCCTTCTGCACTAAGGTTCCCGGTGCCACAGCAGCGTCTCCGGCCTTAGTGCAACAGACGCCTGCTGGCCTGGCAGTGCAAGGGGTGTTCCCAAGGCTTCGGTAGGAATGAGGGAAGCCCACCATGGGCATCCATAGGCCCCTGTGCTGGGGTCAGATCCCTGGCTGGTGTAAGCCGGGGCCGCTCCTCTGAGGCTGCTTTGCACACGCTAAGTTCCTGAGGCTGCTTCCGAAGCTTCCTCCCTCCACTTCAAGAGCCAGGAGCCGAGCACCCAGCTCCCAGCCCAGAGTCACCGGCTCAGCATGGAGTTAGCTCGCCTTCTGCCTCTGCTGGGTAAGTGCCCCCTTCCCCCATCCCCTCTGTGTGTCTTTTGTCCAGCAACCCCCCGAATCCTTCAATCTCAGTGCACCCCCTTTCCTTCCCCTCCCTTCCCCAGAGCACTCACCTCCTCTCTTCTCTTCTCCTCCAGCCTCTCTCCAGAGTCTCCCCCGGCCGGTGTCCCCTGCAGGTAACAGTGTCTCCCTTCCTCATTCGGGTGCCCATGCTGTGGGGGGAATCATGGGGGTGAAGCTCCCCGCATTCCTTCCTGTGGAGTGTGAAATTGAAAGGAAGGGGGGTGTCCCTGTGTGCCCTTTGGCCAAGCCTTCCCTGGACCAGGCTGCCTAGTTTTCGGGCATCTCCCATGCACCTGCCCCAGCAGCAGCTGCTCCGGTCCAGAGACACATCTGAGAAGCAGGTGAGTCAGCCCGGCTGATGGCTGCTTGGTGGGTTCCAGCCCAGGCCACAGGGGGGAAGCTGCCCCCATCCCCATGGGGCTACCCAGCCCCTCACAGGCAGCCCCAGCAGAGAGAGCGAGGGCTGGACGGGCCATGGAGTCTGAGCTCCCCCTCCCCATGGCACTGAGTGCCCCAGGGGCTGTGTGTGTGGGGTGGTATCTCTTCCCTGGCTCTGGGCTCCCACACGGCTCTCTTCCCTGGCTCTGGGCTCCCACACGTCCTGCAGTGATCCCAGAGGAAATGTGATGGGTGGAAAAACTCCACCTCCTTCCCCCACTTCCGCCTGAGCTTCCTCACTTCTGGTCAGTGCCTGCCAGCTTCTAGAAAAGGGCTGATGGTTTCTCCCCCCACTTCGGCCTCAGCCCCTGGAGGGAGACCGTGGGGTGAACGCCTTCATGGGCATGGGGCTCAAGGCTTGAACCATCCTCATCAGCCGCCTTCCCTCTCTTTGCCCCCCACTTCCTGCCGAGGGCAAGGGCGGGGATCTTGGGGTGTCCCGAGCGGCTGGAAGCCCCTCCCACATGCAACGTGTGCTCCCCCAGGGTGCAGAGAGTGAGGATGCCGGAGCTGCCCAGGCACATGACGGACGCTCCCCACCCCAGCTGTATCCTAGGTTCTTGCCCTGCTCTCTGAATTGCTCCTCAGCTCAGTATGGGTCTGCTAGACACAGGTGGTGGGGCAGCTCCAGAGGGAGCAGGCTAGGGGGCAAGGGGTGTGACGTTGCCCAGATTGGGGGAGCTGGCCTTTGCCCAGCCCCGTGGAGGGAGGCTCAATCTTGTAGCGAGAGTCTCCCAGCACTCAAGGTGCTTAGCGTCACAAAGGGAATGGAAATTTGATAGTCGGCAGCTCCCCAGTTTCATGGACTAAGTTGCTTGTGAATCAGCAGAGAACATGAGAACATCAGAGCAGCCAGATGGGGTCAGACCAAAGGTCCATTCAGCCCAGTGTCCTGTCTGCCAACAGTGGCCAATGCCAGATGCCCCAGAGGGAGTGAACAGAACCGGGAATCCTCAGGTGATCCCTCCCCTGTCACCCACCTCCAGAGAAACTGAGGCTAGAGACACCATTCCTACCCATCCTGGCTAATGGCCACTGATGGACCTAACCTCCATGAATCTATCTAGCTCTTTTTTGAACCCTGTGATATTTCTAGCCTTCACCATATCCCCTGGCAAGGAGTTCCACAGGTTGATTGTGCATGGAGTGAAGAAAAACTCCCTTTGGCTTGTTTTTAAACCGCTGCCTCCTCCTTTCATTGGTTGACCCCTGCACACGTGAGTCTGAAACGCTCCCCAAGAGCCCAGCAGGAGGAGGGGGCTGGTTTCAGGGTCCTTGATGTGAATCAGGGAGACCCCAGGCTGACGTGAATCCGCAACATCTCCAGACAGATCAATGTTACTGTGCTGGAGCTCGCCGACATCCCTGGACTTAATCGCACAAGTCCCCCAGCCGAGCTGCCCTGGGCAGGAGCTTCCCCTGAGATACCCAGCAGGGAGATCTCGGCTGCTCAGGGGTTGTCTGGCCCAGTGGTGACATAGTTCCTGGGCACGGAGCTGGGGCTGGCTGGGGTCTGTGCCCAGGATTCCTCCTGGCTCTGCCCTCCCCTGGCTCCTCCTCTGTCTCCGGGGCATCAGCTCCCCACGTAGGAAGCGTCTCCTCCAACCCTCTTGTCTTTTCCAGGCCCCCTCCCAACTCCCCAGCTCACCGTGTCTCCGCAGCATCTCGTCTACCTCCCCAGAGAAGCCGTGCAGCTGCCGGGGCGCCCACCCTGTCCGGGATCCGGTTCTTCCGGAACAGCGGGGAAATCCTTTGCATCGAACTCCCCTCCCCTCAGCCCAGATTCACAAGTTCACTTGATGTGTCAGACGTCTCTGGCCCGCAGGCCGGAGAGTACAGCTGTGAGTCCTGGAGGAGGGAGTCTGGGAAAGAAATCACATCACAGAGAAGCCAAGTCATCGCCATCGCAGTGGTGGGTGAGTCTCCGACTCCTGCTCTTTGCTGGTGCCCTGGAGGGGAATCTCTCCACCATGTGTAGAGTGAGACAGCCCAGGGACAGGACAGGGTCAGCCGACCACTGGGTCAGTTTTGACCCTTTCTCTGGCTCCTCTGCCTTGTGTGTGGTGGGGGGTGTTTTGGGACCGCTTTGGGGCTCCTGGCTCAGCATCCCATTTGATAACTTGGAGAGGTTTCATGGGAGACACCCCAAACTCCCCCATGGTTTGGTCAGGGTGGGTCCCAGTGTGAGACACGCCACGGGGGAGAGGCCTCCTGTGGATCGACAGAGTTGGCCAGTAGGAAGGCACAGCTGTGAGGGAAACTTCCAGCGCCGGGCACTGCCATGCAGAGGTTGCAAGGCAGACGGAGCAACCGATTCCAAGAACTCAGCCTTGATGTTTCTTCAACGATTGCTTTTGGCATTGGGCTCAGTGCCTGGTGTCACCCACCCCCTGCCAAAGCAACAGCCTACGGATTCCCTGCTGCCTTCCTGTAGAGGAAGGGAAGGAGCCGTCCCCCGAACGGCTCAGCCCCTGGGGGCAAAAGCAAGGCAGAGCCTTGTCTGAAACCTCCCCAGAGAGGTCCCTGGTGCCAGGTCTGTGCCTGGCTGGTGTTCACAGGTGAGAGAGAGACACCCCCATCCCTTTCCCCTGTTGCGCCCTGTCATCCGTTCCCAGTCTCTGAGAGAAGTGAGGGACCCCGTTCCTACCCATCTGGTCTAATAGCCATCGATGGACCTACCCTCCAGAATCTATCTGGTTCTTTACTGAACTCTGTTAAAGTCCTGGCCTTCATCACCTCTTCGCTTTGTCCCCTGCCCTGCCCCTTTGCTGCTCCCCACAGATCCCCCTCCCCAGCCGGAGCTGAGCGTGGATCCTCCGTCTGGAGTAGTGAATGAAGGGTTTTCCCTGAACATCACCTGCATGGCCCCCGGGGACCCCCGTAAGCGGAGGTTTCACTTCTACAAGGACGGAGCTGAACTTGTTCCTGGGGATCTGGGCTCTGAGATCAGCACCGTGGAGCCCAGCACCGGCTTTGTGAAAGTCTCGAGGGACACCGTTCCTACCCATCTGGTCGAATAGCCATTGATGGACCTACCCTCCAGAATCTATCTGGTTCTTTACTGAACTCTGTTAAAGTCCTGGCCTTCATCACCTCTTCGCTTTGTCCCCTGCCCTGCCCCTTTGCTGCTCCCCACAGATCCCCCTCCCCAGCCGAAGCTGAGCGTGGATCCCCCGTCTGGAGTAGTGAATGAAGGGTTTTCCCTGAACATCACCTGCATGGCCCCCGGGGACCCCCGTAAGCGGAGGTTTCACTTCTACAAGGACGGAGCTGAACTTGTTCCTGGGGATCTGGGCTCTGAGATCAGCACCGTGGAGCCCAGCACCGGCTTTGTGAAAGTCTCTGTGGTCAGCATTCGTCCCCAAATCACTGGGGAATTCACCTGCGGCTACGAGGAGATCGTGGGCAGGAGGGGGGCCCTGTCCCCCCCGAGCCAGGCTGTGAACGTCACCGTGAACACCAGCACAGGTGAGACCTCCTTGATTCCTTCGTTCAGCTCCCTGGTTGGCTCCCAAGGGAGGGGAACTGTCCTCCGCGGCTCTCCTAGGAAGGGGAGGTAGGAAGATGCCACCTGCAGATAGGAAACCAAGTGGAGATGAAATTCCCCCTTCTCCCCACGCGCCCTTTCTAGCTTTGGCATGTCCATGGCCCCAGTGCCCTCCTATCTGTGCTCCTCACCTAGTTGTGAATGGATTTAGCCCCTCTGTGCCAAGCTGAGACGGGGTAGAATGGAGGCAAGCAGAGAGCACACCCCAGGCAGGAGCTCAAATACCCAGCAGGGGAGGCTGGTCCCACTGGGTTCCCAGCAGGGAGATCTCTGCTGCTCAGGGCTTGCGTGGCCTGGCGGGGACATAGGCACAGAGCTGGGGCTGGCTGGGGTCTCTGTCCAGGATGACAGCAGTTTTCAGGTATCTAAAAAGGTGTCACAGGGAAGAGGGAGGAACATTGTTCTCCTTGGCCTCCAAGGACAGGACGAGAAGCAAGGGGCTTAAACTGCAGCAAGGGCAGTTTAGGTTGGACATGAGGAAAAACTTCCTAACTGTCAGGGTGGTGAAACACTGGAATAAGTTGCTGAGGGAGGTTGCGGAGTCTGCACCTCTGGAGATATTTAAGAGCAGGTTGGACAGACACCTGTCAGGAACGCTCTAGGCAGTGGTTGGTCCTGCCATGAGGGCAGGGGACTGGATTCGATGACCTCTCGGGGTCCCATCCAGTCCTATGATTCTATGATTAAATGGAAATTAAAATATGACAAAAGGTATAGAAAGTTTGGGCTACACGTATGAAATGTTAAATACAAAGATTGCCTGTTTCAGAAGCCTTTCTGAGTATGGACCTTATAAGTATTCAGATCTATTAAGTGTAAATGGTTATTTTTCATGAACACTGAAGGCAGGATAAGAAATAGTGGACTTACATGTCTGTACAGGGGATTTTAGGTTCCATATTATGGACAGTTAAGTACTGAAAAAGGTTTGCAAGAAAGGTTGTAGAAAGTCTTTTTTAAGAACAAGTTAGATAAATACCTGTCAGGGATCCTCCAGATATCGTTTGTCCTGTCTTATTCCAGGGGCTGGACTAGATGACTTGTGTATGACCTTTCCTGTTCTACGCTTCTGTACTATGTGCTTTTCAGAAGATATAAATGTATTGGAGTCTTTAAAAAATGCCTTAGAGTTCTTGCTTTCTCAAAACTGAAATATCCAAAAATATAAAGTTGAGATTTAAGTAAAATTGAGATTTGTGAATGGAAGAAAGATATTTGAAGGGCACATTGAGTTTAGGGCAGGAGTCTCAAACTCTCAGCACACAGGACATCTACAGTTTGAGCATTTTCACAGTCCAGCCTGGTAGTACTGGTGGCCCGTGTGTGTCTTTACCCTGCCCCTTCCCTTCACCGTTCTGACCTCTCCCCTCCCTCATTGAACCTTCCCCTGAGAGACGTGGCTTTGAGGTTTACCCGGGGGTCTTGGTGTGGGGTGACAGCAGGGGCTGGGCTCCCCCGCATTCATTGATGCCACCCTGTGATAACCCATCCTGGAAAGCCTTGAGATGGCATCCCTTAGGAGGAAGGGGTACAATGAGGAGGAGAGCTGAAGGGGTACAGACTCATGCAGCCCCAGGCCACCAAGCCTCCCAGACCAGATTGCAAAAATGCTCAAACTGTAGATTGCCTCTGGGGCATTAGGTTTGAAACCCCTGGTTTAGAACATCTGTGCATATAGAAACAAAATGGGTTAAAGCTGACTAATAATCTGCAGAAAATATAACTGCACCATGCTTCTCATTGATAACAGCAGTCATCATATCATCTGACAAAGTAGCTTCCTTCCCCTACCCCCTCATAAAAACTCACTTTTTTTTAATTACTGAAAATGGATAGAATTGAGCATCTCTTTAACCATAACTCTGCATTTTACTCTGCCTGTATTTTTCAAAGCTATTCCTAAGATGTCATGAGGTGGGAATGTCAGGGACTGTTAATACTGAGAGACGAAAAATCATTCATGTTTCACACTGGTGTGAAGAAAAATGTGTTTCCCCCCCCCCCCCAAAAAAAAAAAAC